AGGCATAAGAAAAACATTCTCATTCCAAAAAAGAGAGATAGATGAAAAGAAAGGGTTAACTGATCCCAAGCAAGACCAAAACCCAACAGGAAAAACAATGTTAAGTCTTAAAGGTGGAGAATAATCTTTGACTTCAAGTCTCATATCTGGGGCAATCTGGGGTGGGAATTGGTTTACCAATGCCTCAGGCAGTCCCACCTCTATGGTTTTACTGGGCTTACTTCACACAGAAGCCTTCATGGGTTGGAATCTTGTGCCTGCATCTTTCCCAGGCTGGAGTTGCATGCTGCTGGCCCTACAATTCTGTGGGCTCCCAGGCTGCCTCACTTTCATGGCTCTACTAGACATTGCCCTGGCAGGGATTTTCCGTGGAGGCTTTCTCCCTGTTACAAGTCTCTGCCTGGGACCCAGTATGTCCATAGCCTTTCCCAAGACTCAATCTGGCATCGTCCATGCTGGGAATCCAGACCCACTCTCCGGCTATCCTCTTTGGAATTCAGCACTAAGCCCTTGGAAGCTTTTCTTTGTAAACCCTCCAAACACAGCCTCTGACAGGAATCTGGCTGGAGCAGTCAGCATCTTCCTAGCAAAAACAACTGAGGATGGGAAACTTGCAAACACCACATTAGTGTTGAGGAAATACATATAATCCCTAGATTTCATGTTGTGTCCAACTTTTTTTTCCTGTTTCTTAACCACGATTCTGTTTTTATGATCTTGAAGGATGGCGACATTAAGAAGAACAAGGAGCTGTTTTATGCTTAAGATATAAAAACAGAAATGGAAACAGGAAGAGAGCAGAATTTATACATTCTTCAAAGTGGTTTGGATTTCTCTAACCATGGGCATAGAATGACAAAGATGTTAGGAGAAGACATCACTTTTTATGATTTCCTGGGTTTTTTTGTGACTTTGACTCCCATAAACACAAATAAGAACCCAGCCAGTCTCTTTCCCTTGAGTATCTTTTCTGGGTAAGTTAAAAGAATTTTAGAAGTAATTGCAAGAAATGATAGCAATAACTGCAGCAGAGATAAGAAGTCTGAAGTTTGGAACATTTGGGGTTGATGCAGCAACTTGGTGACAGCAGAAAGTACCCAGGATTTTGCTACATTTCTGCTTTGCACGTCAGTTTTTCAGTATTGGGTTCAATACCTCATGATCTTGAGAGGGCTGCAGTGGCTCCAAGTATCAATGTGCACACATACCTGTTCCAGGAAAAAAATGCAGGACAAAGCTCTTCACCTTCTCTGCCTTTATGAGGGATCCAAGTCCTTCCCTGAACCACTGCTCACCTCTGACGTCTCATTGTGGAGTTGATCTCATGTGCCCCAATCCCTGCTCCTGTTCACTGTCCTTGCCATGTGCAGCAGGATGAAGCTTGTCCCTTATATACCCAAGGAGAGGGGACAGCTGCTGTGTAGGTGCCAAGAGTTTTGTGATGTTTATATTTCACTATGTGTCTAAGTTAGGTTGCATGGGAAAGAGAAAGTCCAAGGGCCTCTTTATCTGGTGAGATTGGAGTGAGCCAGACCCTGAGGATGACAGTGAAGTCAAATTTCTAATTTTTCAGTTGACAGTGTTGGCTTCTGTAGTTAATGAAATGCGGCCTGTGCAATTAAGACCAGGACAGACTTTCAGGTACTAGAATAAATGGGGGAGATATTTGGCATAGGCTCCTCAATCCAGGGCTAAGGTTTGCATTACCCAAGCTGCCGGGCACCGGCCCTAGTCTGTGGCAGTAGCAGCTTCTCTCCTGAACCATGGGGCTGAGGACCTGGGGGAAACCACAGGCCCTATCCACGGGGCTGCATGGAAGGGCTTCAGAGAAGGAAACTGCTCCCACACCCATGGGTGCCACACCGAGCCCAGAGCCCGAGGTCAGGATGAATGTCTCTGAGACCAGAGCCTTAGGGCTGGGCCTGGGCTCCTGGGCCTGGCTCCTCAGCTCTGTCCTTACTGGTCCTGAGATGCCAGGACCCTTTTGGAGCCAAAGAGAGAGAGTCAACAAATGTCCACAGACTTTATTCAGAGAGCCTCTGTTCTGCACAGAAATAAAAGGAACACATGCTACAAAAATAATAAATATATAGACATATTATATAGATTTTTAAATTAAATATATATAATATGATGGGTATAAATTATGGATGTATCTGTATACGATATGTATCTATATTATACATCTATGTAATATGTATATTTACATAGAAATAGATATAACTGTTGGCATAAGATATGATTTCAAATTTGATAAACTGAGCATGAACATTTAAAACCAGCAATAGCACACCATAAACATGATCCCTCCTGACTTCCTGAGGGACAGCAAGCTCTGCATCCTTCCCCATGTCCCTGTTGAGCAGAACAGAGAGCCCCTAAGACCCAAGGGAGCTCTGGGGACCACAATCAGCAGGTGGCTGGGAGATGGGCAGTGGGTCTGGGCCCTGAGTGGAGAGTTTTGTTCCCAGATCTCCGAGTAGACAGTTCCTCCCCTGGGGGCTCTTCTCAGACACAGCAGCACCGGTGACTCAGGGGCTGCTTAGTCACAGGACAAAACTCTTCCACTTGGCGATCGGCAGCTTCTCCCGTGACTGGAGTGATGTGGGATCTCTCCGCCCAGCTTTCATGGCTCACAAGGTTGCTGACATCCTGTTCACAATGGGACGCTATGAAGGGAGCTCAGCTGCTGATGGCCCGAGTGAACTCTGTCCGAGCCCATCACCCCTAACCCTACAGGCATTGTATACAGTGGGCAGTAGGAGCCAGCAGGAGCTCAGAGCCAGGCGTGGTTTCTGCTGGCGTCAGGCTAGGACACTGTTGAGACCATGGGCTGGCCCTGCAGGTGACAGTGACCCTCTGTACTAGTACACAGGAAGAGGGGCTAGAGACTGCATCCATATAATATCCTATCTGCCATCTAAGTGGGGAACAAACATGAACACCCCAAATATTAATACCAAGCAAGTCGTTTGTTCAGAAAGCAAAACAGGCGAATTAACTGATTGTCAAGGAAATATTCCTGTTTATTTCAAACAAACTGAAGATGAAGCCTGAACCCTCCTTTCTTCCTCGAGAGAGTGAGAACAGCAGGAGGAATAGGAGCAAAGCTGGGTCCCCATGTCCCTGAGCTATTTCTTGATGCTGGTCCTGCTCAGAGAGGGTGGGGACAGTGATTGAGTCTTCTTGCACTGCAACACCAAGATACTCTGGGTGGATGGCTTGAACCACAGACATTTATTTTCACATTCCTGATGGTTGGAAAGTCCAACATCAGGGTCCAGCAGGGTTCACTTTCTGGTAAAGATCTTCCTGCTTTGTAGATGCTGCTTTCTCACCATGCTTTCACGTGGTCTTTCCATGGGAGTGTGGGAGTTACAGAGAGAGGAAAAAGAGAGCTCTCTGGATCTTATGAGAACCACTAATCCTATTGAGTCAGGGTCCCACCCTTAGAACCTCCATTATCTTCTCATAGGTCCTTATCTCCTACAGCCACGTTGGAGATTAGAGCTTCAACATGAAGGTGGGAACACAATTTAGAGCATAGCAGGTGTGCACAGGTAAGGCAGTGGGGAGGGAAAGGATGTGTACAGGTAAGGCAGTGGGGAGGGAAAGGATGTGCTTCCAGCCTCCGAACACAGAGCAGGTTCCCCACAACTCAGTAGACTGGCAGCTCCTCCCAGATGTCCCAGGTCACACATGAGACACCATTCTAGCTCTAGGGACTTCCCGTTGATAATGGGACACTATCACTCTTATTTTCCCAGGGTTTCTAAGACCTTGGTGTTCTTTATTGTTTATTGTGGAGTGTGTTTGCACCCAGAGACAGGTTGTTGACATAGCAATTTATGGGATTTTTAATTTTGTGATGGTGAAAATTACTTAATAAATTATTCATAAATAATAATCTAAAATTAATATATTGTGTAAAAATGAGATTAATTGAAGACCCTGAAAGGAGCCTGAGAGGATAAAAACCCATATTCTTTTCAGAAGAGGACAATTAAAGTCATATGACTTTTATTACAAAGACATTTTAGTAGAAATTAGCAAGTGATAAATTCAAATAGGCTGCCACAAACATAACTTTATACTCAAAAAATTATTTTCCAAAATAATTTTACATTTTCATATAAAAACAAACAACTGTCAGGTGCAATGGCTCACGCCTGTAATCCCAGCACTTTGGGAGGCTAAGGCAGGCGGATCGCTTCAGATCAGGGGTTCAACACCACCCTGGCCAACATGGTGAAACCCTGACTCTACTAAAAGTACAAAAATTAGCCTGAGATGGAGGTGGGCGCCTGTAATCACAGCTGCTCGCGAGGCTGAGGCATAAGAATCGCTTGAACCCAGGAGCAGAGTTTGCAGTGAGCCAAGATCATGTCAGTGCACTCCAGCCTGGGTGACAGAGTGAGACTCCATCTCAAAACACAACACAACAAAACAAACAAACAAAGTGGGTTTATCAGCAGCTCCACTCAATGGAAAATTTCTCCAATGTGTGCTTAAAGTAAAAGAACATTTATCCCTGATAGAAAACTCTAGATTTCTTTGGTCTTTAGAAGAAAACGGCTTTCTCTCTACTCGTTCCACCTCATGCTGCTGATGATGGGTGTGGGGGCAAGTGACTGTGAAGGAGGAGGAAGGCTGTGTTCTGAGGGTGGTCGTGCCTCCTGCCCATCTGAGTGACCTCATGGAGCAGAGCCACCGACACCACCAAGGCCACCTACCTGCCTCTGCACTGCCAGGCAACAGACACAGAAACCCTGTCACATTTAGTCCACCATATTTTGAGGCTTCTTTGTAATAGCCTTAATTGTGCTCTTATTCTCCTTGGTATTTCATTTCAGTTTTTGGAATCATTTATTTTTCACCTAATGGGGCATTAACATGTGGGACTGAAGTACAGCTGAGGCTATCATGAGCCAGAGTCCTCAGCAGCAACCTCTGCCTGAGGTCTCCAACAGCCTCCTCTTCTGCAGACACAGAGACCCTGCCGAGTTGCTCTCCAGACAAGCAGCACATGTGAGCAACTGGGCAACCCCAGGAGGGAGGTTTCTGTTCAGGGATGAAACACTGTGGGAGGAGTTTGTAAAGCTTGCATGCAGTAATAAACCCCTACGTCCTCAGCCTCCACCCTGCTGATTTTCAGTGTAAAATCTGTACCTGACCCACTGCCACTGAACCTGTCGGGGACCCCGGAGGCCCGATTAGAACCATAATAGATCAGGAGCTGTGGAGACTGGCCTGGCTTCTGCAGGTACCAACTCAAATAGTTGTATCCATTGCTACTCAGGAGGCTCTGACTAGACCTGCAGGAGATGGAGGCCGGCTCTCCATGGGTGACGGGCAGAGAGAGTGGAGTCTGGGTCATCACGATATCTCCACTGGAGGCTGAAATAATGAATTGCAAAGTTATGTACAACTTAATGAGTAATTTTCATAATTTATCTTATGTCATTTATTTAAAGTTAATTTTTAAAAACACCGATTTATGCCATAAAAATACACATTCTGAAATGAATTCATTTTTTGTAAAGTATAAGAGACCTTTGTATTTTGAAGATCTTAATCAGAGCACCAGACATCATATTTTTTATGAGCTTACAATTATTCACAGAGCAAAATACAAAGTTCCCTTTTCTACAGCACAGATCATATTCCTCTAACGCAGGGTTAGACTAAACATAGGTTGCTGTGGAGCCCTAGAGTTCACCCTTCCACCCCATTCTCCTTCCTCATCTCCTTCTGTTCTTACCAGAGACCCAGAGCATTAGCAGCCCCAGGAGCTGAGCAGGGTGCCACATTGTGACAAGGTGAACTGAGGAGTCCTGATCAGTCAAGGCAAGGTTGGAGTTGAGCTTTTATCTCAGACTTGCTAAGAAAAGACCTCCCTATGGGACAATATGCAAATCGCCTGGTGCATGCAGTGGTGTGGAAAGAGTCAATGGGGCAGGTGGGCAGGGGATAAGTCTCTCCTGTGAGCAGTGTGATATAAAATGGGAGGAAGGATCTGACTGTGACAGTTTGGATCTTGGGTAGGTTCCATTATAGGACATGCAACTCTAGGAAAGCGTAACAACCCTAACGATGTGGAAATATGTCTAGAATGAACATGGGTGAATGCCGTTCTTCTTGGCCCCCTGCCAGCTAATCTAAAAAAGAAAACATTACCCTTTCCTATGAGCACTGATGAGCAGCGTGCCTACAAATAAAACACAGTTTTGAGCCAGTTCAAGAGTTGTCTGGTATCTGCTGTTTCCAGGATAACTGTTCAAGAAAGTTCACAGCAGGTGTTGGAATCTGCCCTCCCTTGGCACCTGGTGAGTGAGCCCCATAAGAGCGCTCTGTCCAAGGGCCTCACAGGGAAAATAATGTGGGTCTCTACATTTAGATCCAAGAGCCCAGTGTAAGTAAGAGGAAAGGGGGAAACAATTTTTTCCTCGGGCAGTGAATATAAAATTACTGGTGACCAACTGTTCCATCTGGTATATATCCCATCATAATCATCTCACATACGCCAGATTAGCCAGAAGGATTTATCAAGGGAAGATTTTTCTAGGATAATGATATAGAATGAACAAAAATTACCTTTGCACTATGTTTTTCTAAATGGTGTTAAGAAAAGCTCTTCCCACAGCCTTCCTCATCGTGGAGAATTATCAGGAGAACTCGCTCCTGATGTTTAACATGGGTTCTTTTCCATTTCCCAAGTGTCTCGGCTGGGTTGAGAAATAAAGGGAAAGAGCACAAGAGAGAGAAATTTAAAGCTGGGTGTCTGGGGGAGACATCACATGTCTGCAGGATCCATGATGTTCCCCGAGCTGTCAAACCAGGAAGTTTTTATTAGCGATTTTCAAAAGGGGAGGGAGTGCACGAATAGGGTGTGGGTCAGGGAGCTCACATACTGCACAAGGTAATACAATATCACAAAGCAAATGGAGGCAGGGCGAGATCACAGGACCACCGGATGAGGTGAAATTAAAATTGCCCATGAAGTTTCGGGCACGCATTGTCATTGATAACATCTTATCAGGAAACAGGGTTTGAGAGCAGATAACCTGTCTGACCAAAATTTATTAGGTGGGAATTTTTGTCCACCTGATAAGCCTGGGATTAGACCATAAAAGACGGGATGCCTTAAAAAGGGGCCCTCTATAGATCCACCTTCAGGGCGCATTCTCTTTCTCAGGGATGTTCCTTGCTGAGAAAAAGAATTCAGTGATATTTCTCCTATTTGCTTATGAAAGAGTAGGAATATAGCTCTGTTTCTGTCCGGCTCACCGGCGGCCAGTTCAAAGTTACCTCTCTTGTTCCCTGAACATCGCTGTTATCCTGTTCTTTTTTTAAGATGCCCAGATTTCATATTGTTCAAACACACATGCTCTACAAACGATTTGTGCAGTTGACACAATCACAGGGTCCTGAGGCGACATTCATCCTCCTCAGCTTACAAAGAAGATGATGGGATTAAGAGATGAAAGTAAAGACAAGCATAGGAAAACACAGGGGTATTCATTGGGGAAGTGATAAGTGTCCATGAAATCTTCACAATTTATGTTCAGAGATTACAGTAAAGTCAGGTGTAAGAAATTATAAAAATATTAATTTGCGGAACTAATAAATGTCCATGAAATCTTCACAATTTATGTGCTTCTGCTGCGGCTTCAGTTGGTCCCTCCGTTTAGGGTCCCTGACTTCCCACAACAGAGAATGAGGTCCTATCAGGACTTCCAGTTTCTTGTCAACTCTGAGTGAGACCTGAGTGTCCCCTGGACCTGTAAGTGGTGTAGCTACAGCCATGAGTTCATAATTCGAGTGGAAATTCTCTGTGTAAGAAGAGCATGAACTGGATCCACAGATTTCCTGTCTCAGGGTTACCATTACACATTTTCCTGAGCTTTCATGTAAAGATGATCACAGCTCAGAGATGTCAATCTACCACACAGCTGATCATGAAAACAGGGAAACAATCCAACTATTTGTTTGTCAATGATATGCTCAAGAATGAGTTGAACCGCTCCTGAAAGATCATGCCTACATCAAATCCCTTCACGAGGACACTCACTGTCCTGGAGAGAAAATATCTGGGGAGAGCCAATGTAATAGATTGCAGTACTGTGTAATCTTGGATAATTTAACCGAAAGTCATGCTTAATTGGAAAAAAAAAAAAAAAAAACCACACACACACACACAAAGAAATGCAGTTCTAAGTATGATCCCACATGAAAGCTTGGTCTGCATGTCTTCTGAGAAGTCTACCAAAATAAGACTTTTGAACAAGATTGGAAAAAAATAATTGAGTAAAAATGACACCAATCTTAAATGTTGAACTCCATGTTAACATTCTGAGTTGATGATCACAAATTATCACGAGGAGGTAGGAGTGCACTAAAAGTCTTATATTTCAGTCTTTAAAATGTTTATTACTTTCTTTTATTTCATTTTGTAAGTTTTGTATATTTAACTTTTTTATCCCATGATGTTGACCAATTCAATGTATGTTCTTAATCTTGAAAATTTCAGACCCCTAATTCACCATGCTAGTGAAAGGAGTCAGAAATATTGGTAGGTGAAAAGAAAAAATAAAAAATGCAAGCTAAACCGAATATACTGACACAAAAGAACACTACTGGATGCATTATGTCTGGTTTTAAAGGATCACTCTGAAAGTATGTTAAATGAAGAACCAGTTCTATCTACTATCTAATATGGATGCTTGAATTGAGAGAAAATGATAAATGATAAAAAAGCTGTCATGCTTTCTTTTGCAAGCCAATTCAAGAATACGTTACTTTTGCAAAATATCCTGTAATATTTTTGAATTTCAGAGAATATTCCTATTCCCTGTGAAAATTAACAACAAAGCTTTAAAAAGTCTGCCATTGTATTTGGTAATTTACTTCAGAACCTGTTGCCCTTATATATTCAGAAAATGTAAAATCTTGTACAAATTATTTGGTGCAAAAAATAAAAAACTTTGAAACTACCCTATACTATTTATATACTTAAGTAATAATATTTCTAATTCCAAATAGAAATCTCTGTCTCCTAAACATTAACACATTATGCCAAGGCTTTGATAACGGTGGACAAAACTGGTCGCTCCACAATGGACACAGGTAAGAAGGTGTAAGAACAGTCTCCATTTGATCCAGGTGGGGAGCAGGCCTCTGTGTAGCTCTCATCTGAATCATGGTCACCTGAATGACGAAGGACTGATACAGGTGTTTCTTACTGTGATTGTGTCTCCTTGGCCTGATGCTGTGAGATCAGAGTCCATAAAATTGGAAGTAAGTGTAGTACTTGTATGACGTGGGAACATGGGAAGATAGTCTTGGAAATTGAAGTGTTTGCATCCTTGGAAGTCAGTGTTTGTGGGGTTGGATGGAGAGTGTGATCCTGTTGTTTGTAGATCATTTGAGGACTTTGGAGCCTGGGCAAAGAAAAAGAGATGTCCACAGGGTGGCAATAACACACACAACTTTTATTGGGTGAAGCTTTGACAGGTTTGCCGGAAGTTCCTCAGAGCAGGAGTCTGTCTATGGGCCAAGGGGCCAAGGTTGTTATTCAGAAGAGGAGGAGGAAGAAAACTGCTGTAGAAGGGGCTTACATGTCTAGGTGTTGTCACACAGCAGTGTTGGGGTTATCAGACCCAACACCAGGACACGTGGGCGACCAAGTCTGGCAGAGTCAAAAGATTGAGAAAAGACAGTTTGAGAAGTAAAATGGGAGCCATCACGATCATGGAGGCTGCGAAGGCCCCGAGCTCTGGGAGCCCAGTGCTATTTATTGGTAATCAAACAAAGAAACAGGTGGTGAGAATGTGGGGGTCAAAAGGGCATGTTGCATTAAGCACAAGATTTACAGCTGTGATGGTTTAGCATTTGCTCTGCTACTTGAGATAATGGAGAGCAGGTTCTTTTAACTCAAGATACAATCGATCCTAGGAGAGCAAGGAGCCAGCAAGTGTAGACGCATTCCAGAGCCACCAGCCCTGGATCCTATCCAAGCCACATGGGATTTTATGCCCTGAGCTTAGATTATAGTGTGTCAGGATAGCCTTCCACCCTTTATAGCACAGAGCTTGGTGTTCCAAAGGCCACAAGGGGTTTTAGACCCTGGAGCCTGGACATGTTCCAAGACTCTTTTACATTATGTTAGACAGGCAAGCCCTGCCTCAGCTTCTCCCAACACTCAGCTTTTCCCAATACAGCAGCACAGTAGGGAGTCTCTAGGTCAGAGAGATCCAGAGGGAGATATTAGTCTGGGGTTTTCATAACCTGGGACTTACCTATTGCTAGCAGATGTGGGTGAGTTTCTCTGAGATATATAATGTAAGCATTCCCTACATGGCAAAAAAAAATCTGCTTTTGGGGGGGGGTTTGAAATGATTTGATTGTAAAGTTTGAGTCTGGCACAGGCCATAGAGAAATAAGCCTGCAGTTTAGAAACAAACAACATATGGGCAGTTCACACAAGACGTCTTTGGCTCATTTATACATCATTGTTGCACATTCTGTAGACTTTGTTCTATAAAGACTGTATTAGTGGAGATTGACAAAATCCACACTGCTATGGATGAGACTGAAGTCACACTGCAGCCTTTTCCCCACCTGGACCTCAATGGAGGTTTATTTTATTTTTTATTAAAGCTGAAAGTTTGAGCTTGGGTGAGAGTTGAGACCAAGCCACCCACAGAGGGAGCTTCACTTTGTGAAGCTGCAGGTCCTCTGCGCTGGATTTCTGGCTTCCAGGGAACATGAGATTGAAGTCGTATGTATTATGTCATTGACTGAAGATTGTGACCCACTGGAGCACAGATTCATGGATAAATATCCAGGTACACAGAGAACACAGGGAATGAGGGCTTTGTGGATAGGTATCTTCTGCTTCTGAGAAGCTGTCTAAACACTGGGAAACACAGGGATATTTACATGTTTGACCTTTCTGAATCTTCAAACCCTGTTCTTGATCAGCCTAATCTGAACCTGTTTTCAAATGTTTCAATTGATTTTCCTCTTTCTTAGAAAAAATAGAAAAATAAATGATATAAAGTCCACACTGAGCTATAAGATTAGTTTGTGGAATCCTGTGCTTCCATGGATGCCTTTCCTCTGCGCATGT